CTCTAAATTGTGCATTGGGCTTTCCTGAGTGTTTGTCTTCTTTTGATTCCTAAATTGCTTGACTATACCAGTTCTGTCCCTTCACTTGTTTTCTAGTCTTTAATAAATTAATGATTTGTCTACCCTGATTCTGTAAGAAATGATCCTGAAGTCAGGTAATCTTCCATTTTGAGAGGAAGGAAAGTCTGAAAGTAAGGGTGTTTTCCAGGTTAAAGCACTGGAGTGTGACTGGAAATTTGGGATCATTTTCTGCTCTGCCACAGACAACCTGCATGGCATCAGGTAGCTCAGTTTTATTCCTCTGTCCCCATCTAACAGGGTGTGACGGGCTGGCTGGCAGTGACCCGGCCCAGGGGTTTTGAAGGGGTAAAAGATGATTGGAGGACTTGGGATTCCCTTTCCACACCAATCAGGCCCCAAAGACTCACCCTGATTGGCCCCTTGGGTCACCTGGAGGGGGATAAAAGGGGCAGCATGGGCTGACTCAGGAGATACCAGTGAGGGACAACAAGGAAGAGGCTTCACAGAGCTGGCAAGAGCTGAACCAGTGGGGTAGGAGCAGTGCCCCAGAAGAGCCTGAAAGAGCAGGCAGCAGTGGGACCCTCAGCAGTGCATAGTGTGGCCAGCAGGAGAGGCTCCCCCCCCCACTCCAGGAAGGATCTGAGCAGCGACCTGAGAGGTTCCCAGCCCTGCTTCCAGCTCTTCCAGTCAGAGGCCAGGCAGCTCAATGTGAGGCTGGGGCTCTGGGAAGGTCAAGACCCCTAGCAGACTAGAGCAGTGTCACCAGCGGTGGCTGTGTGGCAGTGTTCCTGCCTAGTGTGTGGGAAATCTGAATTCAAGTCCCAGCTGAGGTGACTTGGGGTGAGTGAGCTAACAAGAAGTAAATCTTCTTGCAGTGGAAAAGGAACCATTGTGTTTTCCCTCCTTTCTCCTCCTCCAGGTACCAAGGTCCTATATTTCTTTGTCATTTGACATTTTGCATTTTGTGCCTTTTTTATATTTCACCAGCCGGTATTGTTTGTTCTGCTGTTTGTGTTTTATATTTTGTTAACCCTGTTTTTTTGTCAATGATTGTAAGTGTCTAACCTTTGAATCCTGCCCCTCAGGGCATTGTAGTGTTCACTATACCCTCTGATTTATGCCTGTTATGTTCCCAGTATTAAAAGGTATATGGTTAAGTCCCCATTATTGGTCTGGCTCTGCTCTGTAGGGGGAGGAGAGTCCCTACACCTCCCACAGTGCTTGTGCACCTGCTTGGATCCCTTCAATTGGAGAGGGGGTACCTCTTGGAGTACTGCCTGGATTACATGGGGATATAATAATACTTCCTTTCTCCTACCTAGGGGTGACGTGTAGTGGGTGCACACCCCCCCCACCCTGGGCATAGCAATGCACCCCCTACAAAAAGGCTGCTCGTGGGCGGTCACCACTAGCCACCCTGCCACTGGCACCACCAGTGGCATCTGCAGACAGTCCACAATCCCCGCTGGCCACTGCCAATGCTGCTGGCGGCATCTGCAGATAGTTGCTGCCCCCCCCACTGACAGCACTGGCGTCATATGCGGAAGCTCCCCCACTTACTGCCACAGAGGGCACATGTCATTTATGCTCCTCAGAGAGCCAAATCAGCCCAGTAGCTGAAGATGTTGGGGGGAGGGAGGGAAGGGTTGCTTGGCATGCCATGCAACCCAGTTATGCTACCTGGGGCTGTGCCCACTTGCAGGGGCATGGGAATCCATGGGTGGGTGTGCGGGAGTCCACCCAAGGACTCTTGTGCCTCCCATGAGCACAGGTGCAGCCCCAGGGAGCACAACGAGACTGCAGGGGATGAGATGGGCAAGCTGCCTGCAGCGGACAGATGCCTGTTGCAGACAATGATGGGGGAGGAAAGAAGGAGGCATGCTCTCCTGTGCCTGGCAGCCAATCAGAGGTGGCCTGGCCACTTGGCTGCACTTGGCTGCACTCAGCAGTCTCTGGCAGTCTGGGGAGCCCACTGGGAGGTATGCAGGAATGCCACCAACCTGTGGCCTCAGCCAGTGCAGCCAGCCTGCTTGCCCACCCCCACTCCACCCAAGGGCAAATGTATGTTCTGTTCACTCCTGAACAAACCTACACCATTTACAGAACCACACAAGTTTGATCAATTCTACCTCGGGCTTTTTGAACCTCTGTACTTAGCATAAGGTGCCACCCTGCTCTGCCTCCTGCAGTCTATCTTAGACAAGAGAACTAGTGCTCATACATCTCAGCTCATAGGCTTGCCAATTGTAGGATAAAATTACAGTGAGTTCATATCTGAAGTCCTTACTGGGGCAAAAGTCCTATTGATGTCACTGAGAGATTTATCTAAAAGAGACAACTTGGTCACAAGTTGGATTGTTGTCACTTGAGTGTGACTTTGTGAAGCTTTAAATATATTTTGTATTGATAGGGGAATGGGGTTTATGGAGATTGTAAAACTTTCTGCTGGCAGTGAAATTGGCTGCTTTTCATTTCTGAATATCATAAAACTCTATTACGTTTTGAATATTTTGCCTTTTTCATATTCCAGAAAACAGTGTGCACGCCATTGTTGTCAGAATTGTCCTCAAAGTAGAATTTGTTTTCAGTGTACAACTGAAATGTTGTAAAAAGGGCTTCTTTATCATTGAAGAATAAATGTATCATGCTTTCCCATAAGGTTTTCTTTCCTAATAATAATAATAATTCTGAAGAAGTCTGCTTGCACTGAGGTTTAGTGTATCAGCTACATTACAATACAGTATTGCTATCTCAGTGGAATTCTGGCTCATCATAAACAGAGGATGCTGGAGTAGAAGAGCAGTGAAATGGTTAGTAAAAACTGCTTTCAGCATGAGAGGAAAATTGTTAATGTTTATATGCTACATCTCTAGTTCTTTAGAACAGTGGTTTTCAACCTTTTTAGACTCGAGGCACCCCTCATTAGATTCAAAGCACCTCTCAGATAATTTAAGCTATTAGCCTACACTGATTTTTTGACTATAGAAAAATAATAGAGCAAAAAATGCATAAAGACCGCAACATATCAGAATATTTTGGACACTATGGATTTGTACTGGACATCTCTGGGTTTATCTTGTGAATCATGCATAGGTATTTGGACACCTAACACTGCTAATATTACATGGCAACTTGCAGCGCCCTTAAAAGGATTTCATGTCACCCAGGGTGCTACAGCACCCTAGTTGAGAATCACTGCTCCTGAATAATAGTATTGAATGCACAGGCCAATTGAATCACAACTTTTCAAGAGTATGTCTATATTCTACATAGTCCAAAATATTTTTGTTCCCTTTGTTTATGACTCTATCAATAATAAAAAGGTATATTCCCTCACTGTAAACTACCTGCTAAGGTTACATTTTTTAACAGTTTCTCAAGGGAGGTTTCTGTGGCCCAGCCCCTGTTTCCTTCTGCCTGTCAAGGGTGCATCTACACATGCTTCCCAAAGTGCAGTTGCTACTGTGCCAGCATTTAGTATTTGCTTTAGGACATACTAAATGATAGCACAGTAACAGTCGCTACGGTGCCATCCTGGCAGCACGCAGTTATTTTTAGCAGCTATGTTGCCATAGCAACACACTATAGTGAGGTAGCTTGTCACTATGGCTTCAGAGTGTCGGCATCATGGTTTGTGCCCACCACTTCTACGGCGCTGTAGCTCATTGCTACAGTGCCTTAGCATCACGTGTAGAAGCACCCACGGAGGCTGCAGTCCCTTTCATATCCAAGGGGAACTGACTGAGTTTCACCCACCCTTATAGCTCAGCATTAATAGCAATACATATTTATGCAGAGTGCTATATCACCTGACATCAGGAAGAGTCCATAAGGAAATACTGCATCCCTATACAGTGTCTTAGAGTCTGGCCCTTTGTTCCAGCTTGTCATGCTACAATGTAACTTACAAATGTTCACAGAATGTTATTAAGGGAATGCTGAGGTTATGGATACTATTAACAAAGTACCATAAGACAAGAATCTAAAATGCTACACATCTTTGGTTTCAAAAGATCTGCTCATGTGCAGTGAGTAACTGATGACTGTAGCCCGTGGATGGTTTGTACAAAATAAGTGGTAGAAAATAGAGGCCAGATCCTATTTCACGATTTAGGCACCTAAATGTGACTTTATTCCATGCTGCTGAGGTCCCTAAAAAACCCTTAATAAAAAATGTATTACAATAAAGAACTAAACCAATTATGGAAACAGTGAGACATATTCTGCATCTTGGTCTTAACCTTATGCAGCAACAGAAACATTATCAAAGGGAAGTGATTTTTTGGACTGCAGAGAGATCTCAGCTATTGATGGTCTTTGCGCAGAATTACCTAAAGCTGGTTTGGACTGGATAAGTGTTCTAATTTGGATACCAAGATATAGCCCAAATGTATTCACGGTCTTCTCATCAGGAGAACTGGTTGTAATTTCTTCTTTATCATAATTTTTGGTGCGTATGACATAGGGGGTTGTTTTTGTTTTTCAAAAAATAAGTTCTAAAATTAAAGGTGCAACATGCCAAAGCTTTGTAACAGAAAAATCATTGAAATCCATGTAATAATATTTGACCAAAATGTAATCAAATGTGTTAAAAACTTTTTCTCATAATGTAACCTTTTTTGGAGGGGGTGGCTTATACACAAACACATCTGATTAATTGGAAAATATGTTAATTCTATTACTTTTTATTCTACTGCCATTTAGAAGTTTGTAAGTCTAAAAGTATCTAATTCTATCAAAAATTATAAAAAAAATATAATTTAATCCACCTTCATTAAATGCTACCATTTATTAAATGTATGATCAATGCATATATTGATCTGCATACTCAACATTAACATTTTCAATGTTGTTTTCTTTTCCAGTTTTCTCCTTGTATTTGGTTGCTTGATTTTGTCAGTGTTTTCTACCATCCCTGAGCACACAAAACTTGCATCTCGTTGCCTCTTCATTCTGGTAAGTGAAACTTATGGATACCACACTATTTCACAGAAACTTTAAGTATGATTAACCATATCTCATCCTAAAGGTGGTAATAGGCTTATGTATGCTTTGAAAGAATACTAAAAGTTTTCTCTAAAACGGTGGAAGAAATAAGCCAGTCTGAGGGGGAACAATAGAGGATTCTTATTTCCTTTGAGATGTAATTCCCATAAGAAGGTACTAATACAGCACATGATTTTGTTTTTGTGCTCTTGAGAATTGCTGTGCTTCATTGCTAATAGCTCTTCTGCAGCTTCGCAGTGAAAGATCTGCTGTTGCCATCTGAAGTCAGTAGGCAGTAAGAGGCATTTCACAGTAGTATCTGAGATACAACTATTTTTTCTCATACTTAAAATAGGAAATGATTTTGGTATCTTAGATACCAATGCGTTTTAGCACTTGGTTGATGCTGACTTTTTAATGGCAGTTGCTGTAGTATGGCATAGTAGTTACATGATCCCTCACAATTTAGGTGTTTTTGTTATATTTATTTCAATATTTTCTTTTTCTTGAAGTTTTGGCATAGCGGGTTAAATCCTTAAAAGTACTTAATATGTTTGTTTCATATAAACACATCTTTATTCATATGTTTCTTGATGTGTTATTTAGTTCTGTAAATGGTGGCCTGGGGAGGTGCAAAGATAGACATTAAAAAGCCAACAATCACTATGTTTCCATGGTTATTTTCTATTTCAAGTATATAGACAAACTACAGCATGTTAGACAGGCGCCACTGTGGCGCAGCTGTTGACAAACACTGACATTTTAATGGCAATCACTGTTATGTGCTCAAAATTTTTTCTTATTAGAATAAATTAGAATAACTATTGAAGGAGAGGGCAGGCACATCAATGTGATTTCTTAAGCAGTAACTATGGTTAACTTCATATAGCCTAAAAAAATGAGTTCATGTAGTTCCGAATTCAAATCAAATTATTTGCAAATTTAAGCAACACTTTACAATTGAAAGTTTGTTTTAATATCCTGTTAATATAATGGTTACAATGGTTATACTACTATTCTTAAAATATTATGGTATATGCAACAGTATAGGGCTTTTTAATAGTAAAAAAACCCAATTCAAATACAAGACATTTCAGTTCTGTGTATCATGAACATTTTCACTGTTTATTTTATATGAATAAGTTTTTTGTGTTGACATAAAATACGTATTTACCATGAGTCATGTTTATACTGCTGGTCTTTACAGTCAATGCTTGTCTTTGAGATAAGTACTGACAGTTCAGTCTTAATTGTAACTGTAAAACAGCTTTGCAGAACCCTTCATTTAAAGTCAGAGATTATTTCATTTTTGATGAGATGTGTTCTTAAATCTTAAATTCACAGGGCAGATTTTCAGATGATTGAGATTAGCAAAATTACATTGATTTTTCAAACACTGCATGCGATTGTCTAGCTCTGAGTGTTTGAGTGTTAGAGATGTAGGTGAATCGCTAATCCTTCAAATATCTGTAGTAATTGAAGTAGTTTCTGTCCAACATTTTTATACAAAGCTCTGATGTGTTCAGAGAACCTTTGACGGGAATACATTCCATGATGACGAATTTTACAGTTCCAGCTGCAATTCTTTAATGGAAAAACATAAACACACCACAGTATAAAGTTCCCAGACTGAACTGAAACGTAAACTGGTTCCTTCTTCTATGCTGTTGTACTGCATGTTCTCTTCTCTTCATTTGCTGAATCACTGGGTAATGTTTGCAGCTCTCTAAATGCAGACATTTACAACCGCATAATAATAAAAAACACAATTCTGCATTAATGTTGAGGCCATTGTTTGAGTTTGTAAACACTATGACTGTAATGTTTAGTACAATTTTCACAACCCTTTTACTTGCAGTGATTCACTGCAATTCTTAGAGATGTGCAACTTACACTATTAATCAGAGATAATTACATTAAAATATAAGAGATATTTAGAACTGTTTTACACTCAAGTTAGAGCACAGCTTTTTTTTTTAATGAAGCAAAGCAAAAGTACAGTGATCTATACAGAGGTCTGCTGGGATTCCATGAACAGACTGTTTCAAGGATTCCAGATGATACCTTGAAGAGCCATCCTAACTGGCCAATAGAAACCAACATAACATTCCTCACACTTACACCTGTGCTTTTGCCTGTGTTGGCACCTGTAGGTTTTTTACTTATTGTGCATAGCTGTAGTTTTAGAGCAAAGATAGAGAAAAAGGATACATGTGACTTCCACCCTGTGGAGCTATCTCCACCATTCTAATATTATAAAAGCCTAGGTCTGTCTGTCTGTCTGTCTGTCCATAACACTTTATTTGTGCTCTGATTGGCTGACAAACAGCCAATCAGAGCACAAAGAAGCATGCGGACAGAAGGCACCCCCCACCATGAAGGTAGGGACAAAGGAGATGGAGTGGAGGTAGCAAGGCTAGTGCAGCTGGCCTCACCCTCCCCACCCCACTCCCTGGAGGTGGTGGCAAAAGGGCGGACAGAAGGGGAAGGGGAAGCCTCACCTCCCCCCCTGCTGCCCTGCTCCCTGCAGGTAACATAGGCACCAGCGCAGGCCCAGGCGCAATGCAGCGTGGGGGGAGGCAACAGGTCCGGGTCCAACACAGGGTCAGGGGGGAGCAGGCCCAAGCAGGGGAAAAGCTGGCCTGCCACAGCAGGGGTGTGGAAGAATGGGCCCAGTCCAATGCGGCCACAGCAGCAGCTGGGGGAGGGAAGAAGTGGGCCTCCTCCCCCCACTTGAACCTGGGCCCACTCCTCCCCCGCCCCCCTCCCTTGCATCATCCCCAAGCCCACTCCTCCCATCCCCGAGTGGGCCCGATGAGGAGAAGAGGAGCCGGGTACGCTGTGGCATCAGCGGTAACAGTGGGGCGAGGGGAGGAGTGAGCCCAAGCCAACAGAAAAGCCAGCCTGCTGCAGCAGTGTGGGGGGAAGATAGCAGGCCCAGCCTGGCCTGGTCCAGCCCAACACAGCAGCTGCAGGGGAATGGAGGAGCGAACCTCCTCCCCACGTCAGGCCCGGGCCCACTCCTCCATCACCCCCGCTCCCCTACATTGGCCCCAAGCCTGCTCCTCCCGCCCTCCCACCACCACCGCTCAGTCAGGCCGGGCCCACTGCTCCTCCCTGCTCACCGCTGCGATGGCCCGGCTTCTCCCAACCCTCAGACCCAGTCCTCCCCCACATCGGGCCTGGACCTGCTCCTCCCTTCCCCCACCACTGTAGTGAGGAGGGGGGAGTGGGCCCAGACCCCAAGCAGCAGGAGGGAAGGGGGAGCAGGCCCAGATGGGGGCAGCCCAGGGCTCCTTCCCCACCTGCTCCTTCCCCCCCAATCCCATCATTCTTTACAGACAATTGGCTAGTTTCACTATAAAAGCCAGAGAAGTTGAAGGTGCTGCTATGCAAAGTCAGCTGGTATGCCTCAGTTTACAATTTAAGAAACAGGAACAGATCATATATCTTGATCACAAAATTCTAAATAATGTTTGCATAAAAATAATCTGTGTGGACAACCCAGTACAATCACTGTTCATTCAAAATCAGATTAGCTGAGAGCTTCTGAATATCTGCCCAGATTAACAGACAAGGTAGGAATCCAGGTAATATTCACCTACACAAGAGACTTGTCAGAGTTATGTTTGTACAGCATGTTTAAGATGTGAAATGCTTCAGAAATGGGCTAAAGATTATAGCGTCCACATTTTAATAATAATAAATTTTGATTGACATTAGAGAAAATTAATGGTTAATACTATTTTAAAAACATCTCCACTGACATCAAGCTTCCAAAAATGTCAAGTTCATTGAAAATCTAAAATGGACACATACCTCAAGGTTACAATTAATTCTCAGGACACAGTGGGCATGTCCAGATGAGTGCACACCTGCAGAGGCACACATTTTCCGTGGACAAACAGCAGCAGTATATATTTGTGTTGCTGCTTTTTGTCCCATGTCATGCCCCTGCACATGCACTCCAGCACATGGCAAATTGGCCCCAGGTTGGGTAGGAAAGGCTGGGGCCAGCACCTGTGCTGGCCCCAGCAGCCTTACCTGAGGTCCTGGGGGCCTTCTGGGGTAACAGCAGTGCCACACCAGCTGCTTGGAGCCTGGCTGGCAGCCAGAGAATAGCTCTAGCTGGCCAGGCTGTGTTTCTGGTGGCACACACTGCTACATTGTGTTCCACACTGTTTTTTTAGCAGCAGGTTTTTTTTATACCAGGATTTCCTGGTGTCAGAATAAACCACCATGCTGCAAATTAACAGTGTGGCGAATGGGTGCACATGCTCCACGTGTGGTTTGTGGCACCTCAAACAGCTTTAAGGCACCACAAGCCGCACATGTGTGCTCATTTGGACACATCCAATAAGGCTAAACAGAAGGAAGGAATCAGGTTCTCCGTATGCCTACAGTCATAGTCATTCCTTAATCTCCTCTCTACACACAGCATGTGGCGTTAGGATCTTAATACTGATATATCCCAGACTGACAGTAGAATAAAATCTACTCCAGCATCAAAAAAGCTACAAACTGTTTAAGAATCCAGCTAACGTAGCAAGAAAATAATCTCTGGTGTATTCGTGGTCTCCTACAAACACAACTACTGGCATAGTGTCAAATAATAAACAGTCGAGGAGTAAAACTCAGGCTGGGAAGACAAAATCAAATATTTTGGGGAAGATAGCCAAGAAAAAATACATCTGGCACTGAACCCTTTCTCTCATGACCTAACTTACAACTAGAGCCGCATGAATAACGGATTGTTTTTGTTTAGCATTAGCTCCCAGAAAATGAAAAAAATATATTAATTTCAGGTTAATCAAAAAAGTTGGCCAACTAAAAAGTGGGAAAACCCACATTTAATTTTTTATGAAATATATATTTTTTATTTATTTTATTTCTATAAAATATAATTACAAAATAAGTAGAATTTGGAAATATTTGGAAGAAACTGAGAGAAAACTTTTGAATTTAGTCAA